TTTCCTAGGGAAGGCCCATCTGTGGAGGATGAACAAGGAGATGATGCTTTCTGCAATATCACAAGAGGTAAACATGATGAAAACCCAATAACACAAAAAGTCGCAGCAGCTAAAAAGTTAATGTCAGTTGTGACCTGCTCAAATAAGAAGGGTTGTAGGGTGTGATTGTTTGTCAGCACTTGAGAAAACCTGTTAAACCTCTTTTTAAAAAACTGTAACTTTTTTTCTTTCAAGTTATTCAACCTTTCACCCATGAGGCTCCTGCTCCTCACCCCTTGACCCCCTTGCTATTTGTTTAGCATTGTGGCAACAGAGTTTAGAACTCTGAAAAACATTAAGCTAAATGCAGTGTGGAGGTGGGAGGAAACTCCGTAAGTCCAAGTTGGTTTGAAAACACGTCTTTGAAATATACGTAACTGTAGAGAGCACTTCAAGGAGAAATAATCGATGGAAAAAATGATAGGTGTGCCTCAGAATCCTTCTACAACCTTGTTTAAGTTGATCAGTTAATAAAAGCGGGCAAAGGGATGCAATTTTGGCAAACGTACTTCACTCTTTCGCAAAAAAAACCCTCTGGGAGTGTATTGCATGTAGCTACTCTGGTAAAGGAATATTAATAAGGCTAGAAAATTTGTTATGGGGAGGGAGGCTGAAAGTCTGAAAATAGAGACGAAAGGGTTCTGATTTCCAGTTATTTATTTGTGGAATGAAGATGTAGGAAAAAAATACAAAGGGTCAGATCTCTAAAGCAGTATAGCTAAAGGGGGTGGTGGAAACAGTGTACATGGTCCATAGATTTGGGGATAATTCTGAGCTTTGTGATTCGTTTGCTGGAGCAAGTTTGTATCAGATAAGCCTATCAGGCTTTATTAATAAATTACTCTTTATTATATATACATAATGTTGCATTATGTTTATTTATCATGTAAAATGTCTACATCTCTTCAATTCGTCTGGTGGAACGTGGCACAATACAAATCAATACCGTGCTGATATTTGGAGGAAAAGACATAGTTCTGGACTGTATCATAATCTCTTTTTTTTTCCCTTTTTTTTTTTTTTAAAAAGGGTAATTTTATTGATCCTAAAAGAGAATTCATTGCAGGGGTTTGCACCTGGCAAAGAGACCCAGATTTTCATGGGCCTACCACAGATGCAGGAGAAAGCATGCAAAGAGAAAGGTGTATATTCCATAAAGGGCAGGTAGACACCTGACTACAGAATCTGAATAGACAAATGCTTGCTTGTACATGCAATTGTAGTAGAGCTGGTATGGAAAAAAATTGACAAAACATGTTGTTGTTTGGCAAATGCCAATTTGGTGAAACCAAAACCTGTTTCCCAGGAAGGATCTGATTCAACAAAGTTGCTGCTTTGAAATAAAAAATAAAAAAGTTTCAAAATTGTCAAAATGTACCTGTCCCAGGGTGACACTGGTTCTTTAAGAGGGAGCAGGGTCAGCAGTGCACCTGTGTCTTATCACCACACTCCAATATGGCTAATTAAGAGGGCTTTAAAGAGGACACCAAGGCCTAGAGAAGTGAGAGGAGAGTCCTAGTGAGTCAGATCAGACCAGTTCATTCTGGAGGGGCAGGTGAGAGCTGCTAGAGACCAGGGGGCTGGAGGAGTCCTGGAAGGAAGCAGAAGGTGTTTTCTGGGAGAAGACTCAAGGCAGAAGAGCAGCAAGAGGAGTTTGCTGGCTGGTCCCCAAGCCAGAGAGCTAGGACCAGAAGGCTGGAGAGTACTGAAGGCAGGAGGAGCAACAGCAGAAGGAGGTGTCTGCAGGCTCTAAGCTAGAGGGCTGGAGAGGGCTGAGGGAGGGGAGCAATTGAGGAGCTTATCTGCGGACTGCTCCAGAGCTGGAGTGCTGGACCCAGAGGAACCATGAGAGGGCCAGGGAGAGTGAAGGATTCTCCCCTGGCTAGGATGCTGCCAGCAGAGATATATGTGGGGATTTCCACTAGAAAGAGCGGGGTTACTCTCCATTTGGAAGGGCTGGGGTGGCTGTACTGGTACAAGGACAGGCGAGGACTGTGCTGGAGAGACAGAACACAGTGAGAGATGCTGGGACTGCACTGAAGAGCCAGGGCCTGGTGAGAGACTTTGAGGCTGTATGTTGTATTACTATAAGGGCCATTCTGGGGGAATTCTGGACTCTGGTGTTTGGACTCATTCTGTTACGATTTACATCTATGGGACTTTTGAACTAAATAAGCTGCACAAGGGCTATACTGATACTTGGTAAAATGCTTTGGATTATTTCTGGGGAGTCTGCAGGAAGGAAACTGAGGAAGACGTGGTCTGCCACAGGAGGGAATTCTAGTCAGGGCTCCCTATGACAGTCTGATTTTAATATCTTTTTCCAAGGGGCAAAAAAATCTGTTTTTCAGTTCAAAATGACTTTTTTGCTTTGAAGTCTAAGGTAAAAGCAAGGAAAAAATTGAAACAAAACATTTTGAAATGATTGAAGTGAAAAGGTTCAAAGGACCTGATTTTTTAAAAAAAATCTGAATTTTGTTCGAAGATTTTTGAGATTCCAACTTTTCATCCTGATGCAGTATGGGGAAAATTTTCAAAATACTCAAATTCTCACAGGATAAAAAAAAAAAAATTCCCATCCAGCTTCAAAGTGGAATTTATGCATATGCACTATTTGTGGTTTTCCACAGTATGGCTAGGTGGTGTGTGACATTTCCTACATAGTTTTGCCATTGCATTTCAAGGGGGACTTATCGTGTGCTAAGCCAGTCCCAGGCAGGCAAGCCAGTTTTGCTAGATTGTCGGTAATGTAAGAAAAAGTTCACGAAAGAATGAGAATGAGGCAGGGAAACTCATTTCCACTTTGGGGCCAAGTAAGGTTTCAAATTCAGACTGTCAGAAAAGAATATCTAGTACATTAAACTTCTAGATTTGTATTCTATCCCTGATTTTTATGCAGACAAATTATCCATACTTAGAGGGCCTCATTTTCCCTTTAGTCTGCCAGCAGAACTCCCTATACTGTTGATTTTACTTACATACATAGAATAAGCAGAGAACATTAGAACAGCAAATCACTTGCTGACCTAAAGTAAAATGATGAGAGCCTTAATAGGTGAATGGTGTATGAGCATTGCTATCTGTCTGGACATAGCAGTGATGTCTCAGTTATAACCAGCACTAAGATTTTAAAGGCTTTAAATACCAGCAGGTACTATACAAGCAGCCAATGAAAAGAACTCAGGGCAGATGTAATTTACTCGAAAGTTCAAACCGGTGAGCAAACATGCTGCCATGTTCAGAACAAGCTGCAAGACACAGAAATGCCCTGCTTGAGGCCCGAGTAGAAAGAATTAGAGTAACAGAGCTTTCATGAGGACATGTGTTGCTCTTACAGGGTCATCGTAGGATAAACAAGGGCAAATGGCACAGCTGAAAGAAATTGCCTCATGCCACCAAAAACTCATATGGAAGGAATCTCTGTTACTAGTTCCACCAGAGTGATATGAGTGGAGTTTCTCCATGGATGTCAAGAGATTTTCTGAAGACTTTAAACAAGGTGACTTCTGCCCTGTCAGAACCTCAAGCCTTGTGTTGAATAGGATTTAAAGGTATGGTTTTTTTAGAACGTGCTAGCTAACATGTTCTAATGAACACCTTCTAACCAACAAGTTCTAAAGTTCTGGGGTGGTGTCTTGGCCCCAATGAAGTCAATGGCAAAACTCCCATTGATTTCTGTGGAGCCAGGATTTCATCTCTAGCGTGTACAAAACAGTGTCTTTTACAAGTTCTCCTTTTCTGTACTAGAACTAATGTGTTCTAACGATACACATTTAAATCCTAGCCAAGACAAGGACTTACTGAGTAACTCCTCTACAGTGAGCCATCCTAAAGGGTATTTTAAACCCACTAATTCAGCTCCTTTACACACCCAACTCGCCCAAGCCACAACTCTCCTTGTCTCTCCACCCCAATATGCCAGGGAGCCATCTTCCATCCACACCAACAACAAAGAAATAAGATACACAAACCTCAAATCACACAAAATGCACATCCAGAAGATGACAATAAGTGAACCTCCCACTGTGGTCAAACCCCGAAATACCCACATTCCAAACAACCACTCGCACTCCACCAAAGCAATGAAACTTGTAATTCTCTCATATATCATATTTTTATAATAGCAATAGCTTTTCTAAAGGACATATTATTATAATTACAACTTACAATGCAAAGCACATAAAAGCCACAATGAGACTGGACTTCATTGTGTAAGGCACTCTGCAAAGATACTGTAAAAGATGGCCTCTGCCCCAAAGAACTTACAATTTAAAAAGCCCAGACATAACTGGTAGATGAGCCATATAACCGATGGGGGAGACTGGGTAACAAACATAATAGGATGTGAAACTTACATATTTTGGAAGGATTTGTAAGAGACCCCATTCATCCTAAAGGGAACCACATCAAAATTTCCGTCACCAGCCAACCCAAGGTGTGATGCTGGAGCACATGAAAATGGGGTTGTTCTCAGCGCACAGATACTCCTTCAGAGATGTTCAGTGTTCATCATGGAAAATCATGACAGGATTATTTTTAACATTAAATTGTATTTATTTTTTAACATTAAATTGAATTTATAACCCATTAAAATGACCTTGCTTTATATTATCTTTTAAAACAGTTACCACAAGCCATTTTCCTGAACATATTTAACACAGAGAGAATTAGAAACTGCCTTTGGGCCTGATCCAAATCCCCTGGGAGTCAATGGGAAAACTTCCAGTTTCTCTGGATCAGACTTTTATTCTGAAGGGAAGAAGCTGATGGTATTATTTTTGCTAGCTCTAATGAAAATAATCAAGTTGGAGTGACTGTATTTTAGTGACATACAGTGTTGGAATCAAATAATTGTGTGGGAATGAGCAAAAGGCCAGTTCTTTGGGTCAGTCTAAAGAGATCCACCCCAGGAACTCCTTTGAAAATACTTGTCATTTGGTGCATTCCACAGACGAGTTCTTCAGAAGTAGCCTTATTAGCCAGGGATAAAAGTAATCCCCTGCAGTTATAGTTTAGCAGTGTCCAGAGAAGGGACGTGAACTATACCAGAGGCAATGAAATCCCCTCTTCAATCAAAGACTGGTAAGAGCCCAAAAGCCTCTTTATTTGTATTTTAAAATAATATATAAAATCTCAAACATTGTCTCCTGCTGTCTCCAGAGGCTCTCTGGCCTGAGACACATGGTAAGTTAAATACGGTGGAAAGACTAAGCAGCATCTAGGCAGATCTAGAAGCTGTCCGAGAGTATTTCCACAACTACTCCCATAATTGATTCAGAATGTGATGTTCCCTCTCAGCAGACAACACGAAACAAAGACTAACATCCCCCTTTGCAAACAGGCTCTGAAAATGTGCCATGGATCATCAGGTAGAACAGGGAGGAGGAATGCAAGATTAAAATCGAACAGCCTATAAGGATAGGGGAAATAAAAGAGAGGGTTGGGGAAAGAACAGCTCTGAGATGCTAAGAAACACTTGCAAACTATGCCGTCAAACAAAGTTGTCCTGTCAAGGGGACCTGATCCAAGATTTATTTTTGTCAAGCTCATTTTGTTAGTACCCTTCCCCCCCCACACACTTTCTTTCTTTCTTTACAAGACAAGCTGACTCCGATCAATCTGTCTGAATTCTGGGGGTGGATTTTTGTGCCCACGTTAGTGTGTCCTTAAAAACAATCTCATGAAGATTGGTATCAAGACCTAGCTCTTATATATCATGGCCTGGACACTGAGTTCCTTTCAGCTCCTCCAAAACTCCCCCTCCCTCCCCCCACCACCTTTTTGTTGTTCCCAGAAAGGAAAGTGAGTTTTGAAAGTGTCAGAATAGTGTAAATGCTGATATATTGGCCACAGTTGTTTGAAGGCCTTTTGAGAGACAAACTCCTCCCCTCTCCTCTGTTCCCTTCAAGTTGGGAATGATTCATCAGCTGGCCTTTAGCAAGAAAAGAGACCTGCCCTGGGTCTAAGGCCTTTGACCTGTGTGAAGAGAGGGGTCAGACTGGGAGCAACTGCGTCAGGACCATTGCTGCAGCGACAGGTCTTGGAAACACAAGGGAGAGGGGCCTGAAAGAATGGAGTGGGATGGTGGGAAAAAGTGGGAATTTATAAAAGTTAAGAGTATATTTCTAAGAGTCTCAGTGGATCAGCTGACAACAAGGGTCAGGGGTCATATTTATGCTTGATTCCCTGAGCATGTTACAGTAACATCTGCTTGTTAAGGGTCTAGGGGGACCAAATGTTTCTGACCTCTGACAACAAAAAGGGACAAACTGAGAGATTAGGGTGTTTGTATTAACATTTGGGTCTGACTTTAAAGTTTCCCTCTCCTGAGCCTGGTTTGTCAGTATTGCCTCATTTATTTTATATTCTACGCAAATATTCAGGTCAACCATGGCAAGTATTTTGCCTGAATTTGAAGCCACAAGGTGCATGTTAAAGCCACCCCTTCCATGTGCAAGGGAGTTGGAATGGTGAAAAATGATATGTTAATAAAGGTGGGGCCAAATCAATTCTCTCAGATCTGATCACCCCAGATTTTCTGCAGAGCAGGGCTGGAATCTGGACCTGGATCTGGAGCTGAATTTCTCAGCCTGTGTCTGTATCTATTAATGACTGAACTAAAACCCAGAATGTAACCACAATTTTGTGGGTAGGGTTTGAAATCTGGCTTTTAATTTTGCAGCTTGGATGTAACACTATATTTATTATATATAAGCAGGCTTGGAAGAATTTGTTGTTGTTTTTTAATATAATTTCAACTGCTAATATCAATTATTATTGTAAAGCATTTTCCCCCTATTTTTATCAATTTAAATTTTCAGAGTTGTGGAAATTGTGAGGCTGGGAGGGGGACCATAATTATTTAATGACAGTAGATGTTGAGATTCAAAAGGTTAATGTTAAATATAAAATTGTCAATATCATATCTCAAGCTGTACAAAGTAAATATCCTTAAATCAAAGCGTATAAGCTCCCAAACAATATTTTTCATACATTACCTGTCTGCAAACGTTTATTATCATCTATGGAAATATTTTTTCATTGGTTTTGTTGTGTACGGAGAAATCAATATTTACAGAGGGGGAAAAATCTAATCCTTCCCAGCCTATATATAAGAAAACTATACATATGGAAATTCCTTAAATAATGGATACAAAGTGTTAACATCCCCTAACCCGAGAGCTGTATTCCGAACTCATTTTGGTAAGCAACAAAATAATAATGATGTATTATAATTCTGTATTATAGTCCCAGGACCTTAAATATTTACCTTTCCCTGTGACAATGTCCCAATCCTAGGACTCTCCTGGGACAGATGGATACTCTTTCATAGAATCCTTTACCTAATGGTCCCTTTCCCCACCAGCTAGAAGATTCTTAGCTTGGTCTCTCTGTAGCTAGATTTGAAAGGCTAAGGTTGCTGAATTTAAGTGAATAAGAAATTCTCCTCCAAACCAGAGATTTTGGGAGAAAAGATTAAGATTAAAGCCCCTGTTGTCATGTGTCAATCTTTTACATAAAAGGGCTGCCTTTGTTCTGATTGAAATTGACGCCAAAAATTCTCATCCCCTTAACTGATTGCAGAACTGGGCCCACCATTTAACCTTACACACTGAACATTTCCAATCCATGACCAGTCTCAGTCAAATACCAAGTTCATTACAGTCATTTCCTGGGATCAGTCCAGTGGCCACGAGTAGCTAATGCCTTTTCGCGTATGTTGGCCTTCAAGACCTGGGAAAACAGACTTGTCTATTTTAGCTTGTTTATGGACACTTTCTGTTACACTTCAGGCAGTTCACTTCTGTATATGGTTAAAGCTGCAGCCCAGACATTCTCCCGAGAGATAATATGAAGTTTTGTTTTGGCAAAACAAAAGCCCCACCAATGGAAACATTTTGTGTGTGTGTTTGGATTATTTTTAGCAGGGAACTGCTAAAAATGATCTTGTATTGTGCTATCATGTAACATTGTCCTGTCTTTAGGTCCAAAGTCAACAGTGGTTAAGTTCACATCATACAGTCCAGTCCCCCATTTAATGGTGTAAAAGGAAAATATGTGCTTGGAATCTAAACATCACAGTGGAAGACTCCATGAGCTGGGAGAGCTCTGAGGTATTGGGATCTAGGGAGATGGGGGGTGTTTAAAGGTGGGGTGCCAGAGCAGGGGCGAGTGGTGGGAGAAAAGAATGTGGACCTTTCAAATCCACCTTTGTGATTATAAATAATAAAAAATTTCATTCGGAAGTGCATTCTGCCAACCGTCACAATAAACCTCCTAGCAGGTCATTGAAATTCTCTTAATCAGGGTCAGAACCCACAAGCTGGGGTCTGCCCTGTGAGTTCAGTGGGAAAAATATTCTCCTTCCCAAGTAGATTTCTTTCTCTTTCCTTTTCTCTTTGAGCGGGAAGGGACCGCCGCATAAGCATGCAGAGCAATTTTCCAGTACATTAACCCAGGAGGGGGGAAATCCTTACTATCCACGCAAGGGGGAGGGGAAAATGGAGCAACCGGGTGAGCTGAAGATCGATGAGCCTGGGATATGAGAGAGAGTAGTTTTTCCACTGTCTTGCCCTATACACCTAGGACAAAGGCTTCATTGAGTGAGATGCTTGACATCAGCCTCATAAACTAGTAGTTGGGCACAAAAGGTCTGACACTTGAAAGCACCAATCCCAGCCCTCCTTCCATTGCAGCTGCACAGAGGGGATGGGCCTAACAGTTGTGCCTCTTTGTCATCCTGTAGGACAAGAGGTGAAGATAAATAGTGTTGACTTTAATGCAGTCACACAATTTTGTGTTTTTCCAAAAGACAACATTTCCTCCCAGGCCTTACATTATTACCTCAGGCTGGTATAGCCATCTTTCTTTCTCTTGTGTATCAGGATGGCTCAGGAATAGCAGGGGAGGAAGGGAAAACCAAAGCTTCCATGCCTCTTTGCCTGTACGGAAGCGGGCTGTACTCCCTAGGTCTTGCTTTGTTATGGTGGGTTCTTTCTTTCTCATGGGAAATATGGGCATGGCCTGAAGAGCTGGGAATGAGAATTTTCTGAGCTAAATCTACTCCCCACCCCAAACCCTAACCCTAAAACAGACTGGATAGTGTCTGAAGATCAACACTAGGAAGCAGAAATCTGTTAAGGAGCAGCTTCCTGGAGTAAAACTTGTCCCTATGTATTTAAAACCAACTCCTTGAAAACCATGAATCCCATGGGCTTTAAAGAGTAGGAACTGGATTGTTAAGATATTTCACCTATTAATGTAGTTAGAACTTAAGCTTTTATTTGGTTATATTCACAGGTCCACTGAGACATGTTAGGGGAGGAAGAATGTGGGTTAGAGAACCTCTGAGCCCATTGAACGTGGTGGGTTAGAGCCAAGTTAAAGTGTCTGGAAGGTTCTCAGCCTGAGTATTACCCTGTCTCCTCTAACTGGCTGCGGAATGTCTTCTGTGATCTGTTTTTGTTATCCTACACAATGCCTTATTAGAAGAAAATGGAAACATCCTGAGCTATCAACATTTGTCTCCGTTCAATGCTCCTTTTCCTTTTCTAGTGGACTTGTGGAGACCATATCATGCAGAATATAAGTGGCTAGTTAAGATTGCTGTACCAGTTGGAAACATAAATGTGTTGGACATTGAATATTCCTATTTGCTTGTCTATATAGAATAACCAAAGGTGCTGAGGCAGGAGTTACTGGATCCTTCCTTGAGGTGCATATTTCCATTTTCGAGTTAACTATCATTTTTCATTTTCCAGATTATGGGGTCTAGTGGAGTTTAATTGTTGGGTCTTCATCTTTCTCAGTCTATGACCTTGGACAAACTGTAAAGGATGTTTTACATGCTTAAACAATGCCTTTTGTTCCTATTTGATAAAAGAATAGAAAGGACAAAAGCATAATCTTTCAGGATGTTTTTGGTCATCATTCTTTTGGCCTTCTGAGATTAGCAGCTGAAGAAAAAATGAGAAGTTCTGCATTTGAAAATTAGCATGATGCCTTGTGGCACTTGTAATAGTCAAGGAAAGAGACTTTTGGGACAAGTTGTCTCTTTACCTCAGTCTTCCTCTCTGTAAAAT